GCCCTCGGGAGGCAGGAGTACGAGGTGCTGCGTCTTCCTCCCTCATCTGCCTCGGAGAAGCGGGAGCCTCGGGAGGGACCTGGTGATTGGAAGGAAAATCTAAGCGAGCCAGGGCACTTTGCACCAGTAAGTCAGCAAGGGGAAAAAAAGAGTCAAAAAGCCCGGACAGGTGACATTTAGGGCTTGAGGTTTGCTGTAATACACGGGATCGGAGGGAGCAAAGGCAGCCTGCAGCACAGCTAGACAGTCTTCGAGGAGGTGTTTTAAAGGAAAACTGAAAAGGGCTGGTGATGGGATTTTACAAGGAATTTAGTCAAGTAAAGAAAACTGAGAATACCTTGGTCAGTCAGTCACTGTCATCCTCCAACACATGACTGAGATTTATCAGACATTACACGGTCAGGGTAGACTTTACTTTTCAAGGCTCTGACAATGCACAAATTTTTAAGTTCTCCAGAATGCAGCTGGCGAGATGATGTGAAAGTACAGAGGAGGAGGAGGAAAGCAAAAAAGAAACATGAATCTCAAGCTGTCAAATTTAAATATTGTCTAAACCCAAGGGAAAAGAGAAAAGTCTAGGTGAATCTTTTTGAAAGAAGTTGCGTAGGAGTACATGGGGCAAACCCATCTCCAGATGAGGAAGTTCCATTTCCCAAGTGAACTGAAGGGTACTGACATCGGACTCAAGGAAGAACAGTCCTTTTGGTGAGTGGATTGGCCTTGTCTGGTGCGGCCTGGTGCAGATTTTGCCCAAACTGATAAGCAGTGAGATCAGTTTTGAAATTAAAACTCTACCAAAGGTGACAGTGGCTGAAGGAAGACAAAAACCCAGCAGCAAATGTGTTCCGGGAAAAGCCTCCACTTTGAGTTCACTCTGGTCTCGGCACATGCTGAGAAGAGCTATTCATAGCATAAGCTGAGAAACTCCAGCTCGTAGTTACGTGGCAGCGTTTGTACCTACACGTGTCCAAGTCTCATTTGACCTTAGCGTCACCCACGCCGCTCATTCAGTGTCTGCCAGCATTTAGGTCTAAAGATCAGTATTTTTAGCATAGACTGTCAGATAGCATTATGAGCCATCAGGCACCATATACAGCAGCAGCTCTTACCTTGAAAATGCTTTTTTAAGAAAACAATGCTTGTCTGCTTCTTCCTAACTAAATGGAGCAGTGAGCAATAGTAGTTCCTACGTGATACTTCATGGGAAGATGTGTAAAGCAAATAGAATTACATCTCAGATTGTTGTACATATTATGTTACAGTTCTCACCAAGGCTTATGAAAACGTGCTGCTTATACATCATAAAGCATGCTTGGTTTTCTATAAGATAGTAAATGCTTACTGCCATTGCAAACCTGACAGAACTGTATCTAATCCTGCATCTTCATCCTACACTTAGGAACGTGTCCCATATATTCTTACTCTTCAAACGTGGGGCATGATCCAGGCTCATTTCCTCTAAAAGAACAGACCTGCCGTGCCAGATGGTTGCACTGCTACTTTAAGCAGCTACATTTTTGCAGCATTCTGCATTCCCTACCACTTTTGTTTCATTTACTGCCCAGTAAACAATAAAATCTAAGAAACAAGATTTTCTCAGACTGCTGTCAAGAGATCCTTGAAAACACTTGCATCTTTTGGAACGAGAACATTGCCAGGAATTTCCAGTCCTGTGCCAGCAACAACTGTGTGCATTAGTCGTCTTTTTCCACTGAATAGGTCAATTGCCAGCAGTGGTAGAGCAGCCTTGCTGTACCTCAGCTCTCATCTAAAAGGAGAACTTTTGCAATCAGTACGATTTTTGTGACCCAGCCAGTCCTTGGCATTTCTTTTACAGCAGCCAACAAGATGAGTAGTTATTGGCAATTTCTGTTGTGGCAGACATACCTAGTGAGAACTAGACTTACCTTCACTAGCCCATCCCTAATATCTGTTAAGTAACTGACAGAGTCAACCACAGCTTAACATCTCCCCCAGCCTGTTTGGGAAAGCAGAAACCTTCAATCCTTGACCTTCTAGGTACGTGCAAGCACTAGTGTGTACCCAGCGAAAAGCCAGACTCCTCACAGAACACAGCTGTCGGCTTTCAGAGGAATCGCTGGGTTTTGCAAGATGTGCAAAGCTGCAAAATGGTATTTAGCAAGAATTTAGATCTGCAAGCGAAAAGATAAATGTTTGCTTTGCTGCTCAAGAATTCAGGGTAGACACGAGTCCACATGGAAGTTTGATTTTTAAACAGTATTTCACACAAATTAATCATAAATGTTTTGGGTTACACAGTGGCATAGAACTGTTGCTTTGTAAAACAGTGCGAGGCTTACAGATTTTTCATAATTATCAAAGACAATTTCCCAAGTTTCTGCACTGGTGTCACATTAGCCATTGTTCTCTAAATCAGATGAAAGGGGACTCTATAAGCATCACAACAGTAAAAATTTAGCAATTAAATTGAATCTCTGGAGAGATCGAGAGAAGTTCAGAATACTGCCTGAAATGAAGAGAGTAAAATTTCTCCTCATCTCACGTCTGCTTGGTCCTCACAAACTTACAGACGAGGAAGTGGCATATTTTCTCTGTATATCTTCCCAGATGAACCATTAGAAGCCTTTCCTCTGTCACAATATTAGCTAAAATGAGTAAGTAAAAGCTCCTGACGAATACGACAGGCTTCCGAGTCCATTGACTCCATTTGCTCGTACTCTTCTTCCGGTTGTTCCATGTGTCCTGTGGCCGGGGAAGACCACAGGTCCAGCCCGTGTTCCAGGGAGATGTTATGGAGCACACAGCAGGCCAGAATGATGTGGCTGGATTTCTCTGGAGAATACTGCAGGGTGCCTTTGGACCCATCCAGGCAGCGGAAACGCGACCGAATGGTTCTGAACGTCCGCTCAATGACATTGTGAGTGGCAGAATGCGCCATGTTGTAACGATATTCCGCAGGTGTCTCGGGGATATGCAGAGGGGTCATCAACCACGTTCGGAGAAAGAAGGAGCTGTCACCTGTTGGCAGCGAAAAGGAGGAGGACAGGTTACATACCTACAGTTAATCACAGACTGCAGCTCTTCACCCTTGGTTTTCTGGTACTGCAGACACAGAATAACTTATTTCTGTGGCTGAAACAGAAGGCATGAGAAAACATGTAACTCAGGTTTACAAATGTGACAAACAACAAAATAAAGACATTCCGTTTTACACAGAGAAATCCTGGAAGAACATGGAAGAGTTTTAAGAGAATTCATTTACTACATAATACAGTGAAAGACAGCTGGACTAGAATTAAAAATTGCATAAGTCAGCTTAGAAAGGTGTAGGAAAACAAGGTCTTAACGGAATGAATGTAAACTCATACATAAAATAATCAGACTGTATAAAGCAGAGATTGGAAATTACTGTTCTAGACTTCTAAGAGAATGATCATCCAAACTGAATCGCAAATCTCAAGGAATTTGCAGGAAAGAAATCAGCAGTAAAGGTATCACTTGTGCCCAGAGGCTCTAGATTCAAAGAGGAACCAAGATATAATACTTTCCGCAGAAAACAACAATGAAAAATTGCCTTACCAAGTAGCCAGCCATTTTTATGTAGCTCAGTTTCAAATTGGCTTGTAAGGGCTGCCTGCTGTAACACCGTGCAGTCGGGCAGGCTGCCGGGCCAGTGCGTTTCTGCACTCAGGAGGACTCCCCTGGCGTCACACACCATCAGGCAGTTCAGAGAATGGAGACCCTTGCGGTTCACGTAGGACAGGTCCTCAGCATTTGGCGCTTTGATTGCCACGTGGGTGCAGTCAACCACCCCCAGCACTCCCGGCATGCCTGCCAGCCCATAAAAGTCATCCTTCAGGCTCTGAACGGTAGCTTCATCCTCAGGAAAGTGAATAAACTGTGAGGCTCTTTCCACCAACGCCTCGGTTACATTGGCAACGCAGCGGCTCATGGAGGCTTGACTAATGCCAATAGCATCCCCCATGCGAGTCTGGAAGGAGCCGGAGGTATAGAAACCCAGAGCAGCAAGTATCTGCGTCTCCGGACTGATGGCCCGGGACCGCTGCGTAGGGCGAGAGAGACTGGCTCCCAGGAGATCCACCAGGTAGTAAATGAACTGTCGGGGAAAGCCGTACGTGGATACTAGATACTCATCCGTGACATCCTCCAGCTTGAAGCGATCCAGAGTCCTGTGTCCGCGGCCATAGAGCAAGAGGTCGCAGTCAAGAACCGCAATAGGTACGGCCATGGCTAACGGCCGCGGGGTCCTCTGGGGCTCCGCTGTTACAGAGCTTTCCCCAGAGCCTTCACCTGCACAAACCAAAGGGGAAGGAGACTCGGGATGGTTTTTACCGGTCAGCCTTTCCGTTACCACTCAGGTCATGCAACAAATCCCTTTACTTCTTTCTATCTGCTTTTAACAGCACGGGGGTCGAAGCAGGGGGGCTCACCGCGGAGCTGACCACTCCCCAGCCCTGCCTGGCGGGAGGGGGCCCGGCGCCGACAGGAATTCACGTCCCGTGACGGGGAGGGGGC